TGCTGTGGATCTGGCGTGCACACCTCAGTTGCTGCTGCTGTGGATCTGGCGTGCACACCTCAGTTGCTGCTGAGCCTGGAACCCTGGAACCCCGCCATTTCTTCTGATCACAACTTTCCCCGCCCCATGGCTCTCGGTAGCTCCCAATTACCCTTGGGAGAAAGCCCAGGTGCCTTCGCCAGCTGACTAGGCCACTCCTGAGCTGGCTCCCGCCTCCACGTGGCTCAGTCTCCCTTCTTTTTTTGAGATTTATTTATTTGTACATACAGAACTGGGGTACAGGCCAGAGGCTCAGGGGCAGCGAGAGGCTTCACCAGAGACAGAGTGGGGAGCAGAACAGGCAGATCGACGAAGTACACTGCTGAGGGGAGCAGCGGGCGGGTCAGGAGAGGTCTGCCACGCCATGTGGTCACCTCCGGGGCAGGCGGGAATCGAACTCATGTGGAAGTGGCTTTAGCTTCTCAGTGCAGTGTTTTAACCTGCGGCGTCACCAGGGAGGGCCCCAGTGTCCCTTCTTACCCCCAACCCTTTCTACCCCCCAACACCAAGCTGAAGCCCCTCCTGCTCTTGTCTCCCCAGAGAGGCCACAGCGCCTCCTGCCGAGCCAGAATTCAGAGTCATTTCCATCTTTAGAGGGACAGCCAAAGCCACCCGTCCTGTCCTCATAGGTTCAGTCCCTAATACCCCGCCATAAAACGCTCATCATGGGCAGGGGGCTGCTCTAAGGCTGACCTCTCACCTCGACCAGGGACCCCTCAAGGGCTGGGACCTGGTGTCTCCTCCATATCCCTCATCCTGGCCTCAAATTCAACCCAGAGGAGACCAAATCAGTAGTTGGTGAATTCACACAGCTCTCTGAGGTGGCAGAGTTTCTCCACTCTGTGCCCTGACAGGGGAAACCTTTCTATCTGGTGTCACAGCTCAAAAAGGGGTTGTTCAAGTGGCAGGTTTGACCTCCTCTGTCCCTGAGAGGTCCCTGGGACACACAGCGATGCCAGCACTCCACTTGAGGAGAAGGACTTGGGAGGTCAAGTCCTTGTTGAAGACCTAAGCACATGCCAGGTCTGGTTCTGTTGACTCAAAATTTAGTTTTAGATTGGCTGCATTGAGATCTGTCCGCCTAGTAGAGCCTCAATGTCAGTTGGCACGTCTACAAAATGGATCTACTGTCACTCAAGGGTGTTTGATTCCCAAATGCTGGTCCTGAGACCTGCATCAGAACCCACAGGTGAAGATTCTGGGTGCTAATTCAGACTTAGTGAAAAAGAGTATCTAGGGATGGAAGCTACAAAGCTCTGATTTCAAATAATGCTCAAGTTCTCTGACATGCAGAGTTTGGGGACCCTGAGTTACCCAAGAAAAGCCTGGGATATAGTGGGTGCTTGGCAGATGTTAACAGGACTCAGGTTACGTAAAATAAGTAGCTCCACAGCTTGCAGCCATATCCTGTGACGTGCCCTTGGGGAACTGCACAATGTCTCAGATGCTGTTCCCTCATGAGTGAAATGGATCAAAACCAGAAATACCCGCTTTCCAGGGTATGGTGAGGGTCACATCATAATGTAGAACAGCGCAGCACCAGGCCATCCACGAGTCCCATCAACTGCAAAGCCTCCTCGAGTTTGTCCCTCTTGCCATGTCCATCTCCAACTAGGTGGCCATTCGCTCTGTCCTACAAGGCTGCTCTAGCCTGACGAAGCCCACCCACCCTCCTCAATTCATTCTCTTCATGGAGGGTGATGCTTTTCAAGCTGGGTTAGGTCGGCTCTGCTTGCAACCTGCCAAGGGCTTTGGCCACACTGGAATAACCTTCTAGACCTGCAAGTTCTGGTCCCTGTCGCTCCTTCTCCTCCCAGGGAGGCTAACCTGACCACCTGAGTCAAGCTGATTCTAAAACCCAGCTTACAGTTTATTACTAGAATAATAAATTCTCCAAGTATTTGTTTAATTGTTGCTTGTCTTCCTTCCCATCAGATGTTAAGTTTCACACTTATCTTACTAACCCATCACACAGCTAGTCCACCACATCCCCGACACACAGTAGGAGCTGCATAAATAACGAGTGTGTGGACGAATAAATTGTTCAACACCACCTCACAGTCAAGGCACAGCCAGCAGCAAAGTTAGCTCCCTCTCCCCCACCCCTCCTGGCTCTGTCCCCAGAGCTTTCAGGTAAAGGACAAACATCGTACATCAGAGAGGAGACGCGGTGATGCCCAATGTCATCGTTGCTTTATTTGATTAGCTCCGACTCCAGCATCCGGGACACGCGTGCTGGGAGCCAAAGCAACTGTACCCTGACCTCTGGTCCACTAGATCCCATCCTTATAATGATTTCCATGACAACAGCCCCGGAAAGGCAAGGCTGTGAATTCCCTTTGATAGGAGCCGGATGCAGAGACAGGGAAGAAGGACTTTCAGAAGAATGAAGCTCTTTGATTCAGCTCAAGGCGCCTTCATTAAATACCACTATTTTCCAAGAACACACATTTTAACCCTGCAGAGGGAGATTTCTCATGAATACCAAAATAAAAAGCACAAGAAAGAAAGGAACCAGAATGGGTTCTCTGCAGGAACATTCACCTGCAGGGTGGGGGAGGAGGCCTGGAGGCTGCGGCGTCCCCCTATTTTGGTGGGAGACTGGTAGAGGCCGTGGCCCCTGGCAAAGGGGGCACAGGACCCTGACGGGCCTGGATGCTGGCCAAGAACTTGCACTTCTCTCCCTACCTCAGGCAAGTCAAAAGGATGAAGGTCCCCAGCTCCTGGCCAGCTAGCCAGACAGGGAGATACAGGCTGAGGAAAAAGAACCCCCAGATTCCACACACAAACCCTGGATGTGAAGCCCAGCTCCCCCACCCACCTCCAGTGCCACCTCTGGGCAGGGGCAATCCCACACCCCTTCCCAGGGGCACCAGGAGGGCTGATTGGGGGATGAGTTCATGCACAGGCATTGGAGGTTTCTGACAGGGTAGGAGGGTAGAGGGGTAGGGGTGTTGGGGGGGGGGTCAGTGGAGGAAGCAACTTTCCTTGTTTGCCCCATCAAGGGACTTTTAGCACCAAAGCAGGGTAGTCCAGAACAGGTCACCCTGGAAGGGAGTGGCCTGTTGATGAAAACCATAGCACTGTCAGGAGAGAAGAGGTCTCACTGCCTCCTGGCCTAAAAGACCCGCCTCTCTGAGAGTGGTTTCCCCAAAACCGGAAGTCTGACCTCATCAGGAGAAAGCAGATTCCCCCAGCTTGGGGGACACCGTACAGAACAACTGGCCAGTACTTCTCCTGTCAAGGTCATTAGAAAACAAGGTCAGACCGAGCGGCTGTCCGAGACCAGAGGGGACTGGACTGGGGACACATGTACTGCCGTGTCCTGGAGCAGGAATGGGACATGAGTGGAGAAACTGGGGAAATCTGAATTCAGATTTTTGGAAGCTCTTCTACTTTCAGATGATAATCTCTATCTGAAACTTTTCTTTTTACAGTAGGGAAATTGATCTCTGGGTGGTGTTTCTAACACCTGCCTCCAGACACTGCTGCCCCCCACTGCTCATCGGCTCCTCCAGAAGAAAAAGAGGAGCGCTGGGTTTGGAGTAGGGAATGTGGGTTCCAGGCCTGGCTCTGCCTTTAACCTATTGCGTGACCTCAGGAGAAACCCTCACCCTCTCCGTTCCTCCATTTCCTCCTTTGCCAAAGCAGAAAGACAAGCTGACTGAAATCAACAGGAAGACACTTACTGAGCACTGAAGATGTGCATGCCCTGGCTGGCATCAGCAAACACGAATAAAACAAGTCCTGCCCTCAGGAAGTGTATAGTTTTGTTCAGGAGTCAGTCCTGAAAGTGCAAATCACGAAGCTGGGTTTCTGGGAGATAATTAGTCCCTGGCCATATGGTGTGGCCGAGGCATGGATTTCCACCACAGGGCAGAAGCCCAGAAGAGGAGGTTGATGAGATGGCCACCTTCTGAGAAGAGCTAGAGGCAGGGCAGCGCCTTCCCTCTCCCACACTGCGTCCAGCAAGCTCACGGGGGAAGGTGCGTGACGGGGACAGCCCCAAGAGCACGCCCAGCTCGACCCCTCAGGGCTTAGAGCCCCCCACAGACCCACCTATTTCCAGCTGCCCGTGGAGACAGGTAGCGCACCTGAGCCCTCACTGTGTCATTCTGCTCCAGGACCTCAACCCTGTCTCCCCGTTTCCCACCACCCTGCAGGTGTGACCTGCTCACATGCTCAGCACCCATTCTCCGAGGGCTCTGTCTGCACCTGCCACAGCTGACACCTCTGCCCAGGTGCTCAGCTGCGGCCTGGCTCACCTCCTGGAGCCTTCTGACATCTTCCTGGCAGCCCGGAATGGTGAGGCCCACAGATCTGGGTTCAAGTCCTGCTCCTGCCACGTTCTAACTGTGACTTTGCGAGGGTGAGGGGTCACCTCCCCTCCCTGCCCCTCAGTGACCTCACTTGTGAAATAGAGATGATGGCCCTCATCTCACCCTCATCTCACCCCAGTTCTCTTGGGAACTGCTTGCGACAACCTGGACAGAGGTGTCCGTGGTGGGGGCTCCAGAAAGGAACAAACAGTGGCCAGCATCATCTCGTGATCAATACCACTAGCACGCTGACGGGCAGCGAGGTGGCACTGTTTGGTGGGCTGCTGTGGCAGGGGCAGCCTTTGCACGATTCGTTCTATTACTATCAGTTTTATAAGCACACCTGTTGTCCCCCCCCACACACAACCTCACACATACATGCACGCGTGCGCATACACACACAGGGCACTTAGTCATTCTACCCCAGGGTCCTGCTCTGCCCAAGACCTCAAAGCTCCTGCTGCCTCAGCCCTCAAAACTCCTTTGTCACATGACCCTCCTCCCTTCCCCACTGTCACCTCCACACGACCCACCCAGGCCCTCACTGGCGCACCTCCCTGCAGTGCTACAGCCACACCCGGGCCTGGCAGGGAGAACCTTTCTCAAGATTGCTGCATAATCAGGGGACCCCGAAACACCCACCTGGCTGTGCACTTTCTCCAGCTCCTCTTTGCCGACGGACGCCCCGGTCTCCCCCATGGTCCCCAGCAGGAGCTGCACATCCGACAGGAGCGCGTGGGTCCGCCTGAGGTCTCTCCGGAGACGCTTCTCCACATCAAAGTCCCGATGGCCAATCTGGAAGCCAAGGGAAGGCGCTCGTGAGCTGCGGCAGAGAGCAGGGTCTGAGTCCTCGGGCACCAGGCGCCCTAGGTTCGAATCTTGCCTCTGCCACCGAGGGATGCTGCGTGGCCTCGGACAAGACCCTACTCCTCCTTGAGGCTCTGTTTCCCCATCGGCAAAATGGGCCTGGCTGAGCCCCCAGGGTGCTGTGATAGGAAATGCCTGCTTAGCTAATGTGACAGACGTGTCAGGCGAGGCCCCTGCTGGCGAAGTCACCACAGCCCCCCACGCCTCCCAGGGCAGTGGCTGGACAAGGTGGGGGAGGGACTTTGGGGGTTATTAAGTTATTAATCTGGGTGCTGATTTTTTCAGCTTACAAAAAGTCATTGAGCTGCATAATAGGTGGGATATTCTGTGCTTCGATGTGCAGGTTACACTTCAGTCAATAGTATTTAAAATCGCCTTGCTGCCTTTGAAGGCCTAACTCAAGCGTTTCTGTGCCGTGAGCTGGATCCCCTTAACCGCTGAAGGACAGGCAGATGGGGTGGCTTTCTGCAGCGGGACCTTCCCAGAGGTAAGCACATTCCTTCACTCAGAATCCTGAATTTACAGGCCCTGAATTTAAGGGACAGTTGTCAAGTGGCCCCTGAAGAAGCGACATCCTGAACCTGGTAGCAGGAGGGGATCTTAAACTCTGACAACTTCCAGCAGCCAAGAGTACAAGCTGATGCTAAGCAAGGGAGAGGCGTGGAATTTAGCAGGGGCCCGAGATAAAACGCCGCCAGCCCATAACGCCCAAGAAACAGAGGGCCAACTGGGAACAGGCCACCCCCTTCTCAGGCCCTTCAACAAACCAGAGAAAGACTGTGGCACCATTGGTCAGAAGGATGTTTCAAAAAGAACAACATGCAGGGCTCAGTGGGGGCTCTGTTTCTACACACTGGGTATCAGGCCTCTGTGCCCAATGCAAGCCATTTGCTGGGATCTTAGACTCCGTGCCATTCTAGAGGGGGTGTGGAACCCATCCATTCATTCTTTCACTTTTACATCATTCTTCATTCTGTGCATTTTTCATCTCAGTTGTAATCCCCGTGGGCTTCCCACCTCCACTTCCCCCGTGTGCCATCACCATAGTCCCGTGCACTCTAGGGTGTGGAATTTATAATGAGGTGGCCCAGGCTTTGAACCTGGCTCACAAGGCTGGTGGAGGAATCAGGGCAGAGTCACGCCTCCTCTCGGAATGTGCGTTCCCTTATCCAGAAGAGGTAAAAAAAAATCCTATGCTCTGTGTTTGAGATAAGACAAGATCAGATGTGGTAACGGATCAGAAAGCACTTTGGAGGCTGTCAAGGGCTTCACAAATATCAAAGATAATAAGTATTGTCTGATGGCCTCAATGCCCTTCCCTAGATTTTGCCTTCTATTTCTCTACCACCTGTTTTGAATTCTTTGAAAAATGAGGTGGTTCTTAGAATCCAGCTCATTGTTCTCAGATGTATTGCTTTGTTAGGTTTAAAATACTGATGCACACACACACAGTAATACTGGTGTAGACAGAGCAATGGTTTTCACTCTCTCTCTATACATACATATAAGCTACCTAATGAGCTAAGCTGGGATAGGGCATCGTGCCAGGCTCTTTATAACCTGGCACAGGTTATTGCCTCAACTCCTGTGACTATCTTTTAACATCAGACATCATTATTATCGCCTTTATAAAAGCAGTCATAGCTCACCCACATGGGGGCTTCCCAAGTGACAGGCGCCACTCTAAGCACTTTATGGATATGGACGCGCCTGGTCCTCATGGTGACCCTACGAGGCATGCGGGGTTAGGGTTCCCGTTTTACAGGTGATGGAGCTGAAGCTTACAGAGAGAAGTGGTTTGCCGCAAAGCACATGCCTATTAACGAGTGGCAGAATTAGGATATCACACCGAGATTTTCTGACTGGAAAGAGGTCATTTTCGTCAAATATATGATGAGAGAGAGATGCTTTGCTCTTTAATTAAAAATAAAAAGGTGTGATGGAAGCAGGCTCAGGTGGAGGGGGGGGCGGAGGGGAGGGGCAGGCAGAGCCCTGAACAAGCAGCAGCTAGGTAGGTGAGGAACAACTGACACAACCAATGTGGAAACAATGAACAATCTGCCCAGGGTGAGTCACTGCTCAGGACTGGAGCTGGAACCCAGGCAGCTTGGCACTGGGACGCAAGTCTCTACCCATTGCACTGCAGGGCCCAGGCAGGCACCTGTCCCCAGAATTACTTCCTCTGAAGCCCAGAATTTTGACCGTGGTTACTCGAGCTGCGTGCAGTGCACCTTTCTTATTTTTTATCTGCTCCTGCTCTGCACACACCCTGAAGTGTCTTTAATTGTCTCCTGGGACTAGCTGACAGCAGGCATATCCCTACAGCTGGTAATGACCATCTAGGAGGGACCATCTTCCCTGCTAAAAAGCCCCTGAAAATGGTGCCACATTGCCTATCCAGAGGGATCATGGCAAAAACCTGACAACAAGCTCTCCGACTGAGTCACCCTCCCATCCATAATGAATTGCTGCAGGAGAGGAGGTGGGGAAAAAAGCCTCATTAGGTTAATGGGAAATAAATGTCACTCTGTAAGTTCGCATTTTACTGCACAAAGATTTAAATTTAGATAAAGTTGGTGAATAATTAACCAATAAATCTAAGTGATGTTTAATGTTGTTGTGGGAAACTAAACTCAAACCCCAATTGTTTCACCATTTATCATAAAGGCAAATTGGAGCAGTTGTTAAATGTCTGTTACAAAAATTTCTTCAAGCACTTTTAAAATAAGATCTCTGGAAATGTGAGCAATTGCAAGCCCTTTTACACCTGGGGAAACTGAGGCTTGGAGAGAGAATGCGTACTGCTGAAGGTGGCACAGCAAGGTAATGGTGGGACCTGAAAATATTGTGAGAAAAGATGCCCCAGAAAGGTGGATGTAGTTCACTGGGCCAAACTGCTTTTAAGTAGATGGCACTAGATTAAAAAAAAACTCTCACACACAAATGTGCACATAATATAAAACTCATTTTGAATTCACCTAGACCACGTATGACCTTGGGCAATTTGCTTTACTTTTTGAGCTTCATTTCTCTTGTCTACATAGAAGAACAAATAACACCCATCCTGCAGCACTGTTATAAAAGTTCAACAAAATTCATTAGAAAAACAATTATGATGACTTATCTTAAAATTTATGAGTGACTATTAGAAGGCTAGAAATATGGTTTGTAGCTTCAGAACAGGGAACAGAGAGCACAAAGGAACACAGAAAATATTATTTGAAGACAGATATTGGGTGGTTTCACTAATCTGTGGAATATAAGCAATATATAGGGGAGCCAAGTAAGGGGTCAGAAAAAAGAGTAATCTAGCAGGAAAACATAAATCAAAGACATTCAGTGGGGAGGCTGGAGAGAGGGGTTAAAACAGGGGTGGTAGAAAAAGCACAAGAGACTATGATTCACAGGTGACTGGTAGTGGAAATTCTGTGGGGACTACACCTGAGTGGGGAAATCAAACACTACAAAATGTGTGTGTTGTGTGTGTGGGAACATGTGTGTGTGTGTATATATATATATATGTGTGTGTGTGTGTGTATGTATATATGTACATGTGTATATATGTGTGCATAGATCTGTATACATATGTTTATATACACACAACACATGTATATGCACATATACACAAATATATATATACATATATTTCAAAAATATTACTGATTACTATAGGGAACAAGGGCAAGGAAATATATAGGTCACTGGCACAGAGGTTTTAGGAAGGCTGAGTGGAACACACATACACATGGGGAATAAAAAAATGTAACCCCAAATTATAATGGGGGAAAAGAAAATCTTGTCAATCTATTCAAAAGCAGGAAGTGGCACAGAAAAGAGATAATAACCTACAAATACTAAACACAAAATAAATAATGAAAAAATTCAAATATATTAGTCATTATCACAATTGTAAATGAATTACATTATCCAATGAAATTCTGGAGACCAAAATATTAGATTTAGAACTATCAAACTATTTGAAGGAAACCTACACACACTTTTGCAAAGTTAAAAGTAAAGGGATTATAAAAGGATCTTGCAGGCAAATGAAAATAAATCAAACAAAAGAAGATAAAATCATTCATGGGAAGATAACAGAAAATGAGTAAAACTTGGCAAAAATCACAATTATAGAGGGAAAATATCAGAACTCTCAGAAAGAGATCAAGCAAAGCTACAGGTGACTTTTAAAATATAACCATATTTTAAACCTTTTAATTTTTATGCTTTTATATTTGAATTCAATATTTAAATCATAAAATTAATGAATATGATTTATTTGCCCTACATAGATCCTCAAAGAGAGCCAGATACTTTCCAGTCTATAAATTATTACAGTTGAACAGGAACTAAGGCAGAAAAGATAGCTCAACAATTTAAAATAAAAAAACATTATAGATTCTATTACATATCTTATCTAAAAGGACTTTAAACTAAATACACACACACACATATATACACACACACACCAGACTACTTCAGCAATCAAAATAATAAACTAATGCCAATAGCAGCAACATGGATGGAGCTAGAAGGGATCATGCTCAGTGAAATAAGTCAGAAGGAAAAAGAAAAATAACAGATGGTCTCACTTAGAGGAGGCATATAAGGGGTCTAGGAAAAAAACAAAGATAAACAGACAACTATACATCAGAGATATTCTTCGGGGGGTGGGGTGGGAAAGGGCTCAAAGGGAGGGTGGCAGAGCACAAGGGACTATGGAGAGGCGCGCAAGTGAGCTGCTGGTGGAAATTCTCTGGGGGCTACATCTGAGAAAAGAAAGCAAATGTACAAAAATTAACAATGATATAAAGTATATACAACTTATATACTAATAAAAAAACTAAAAATCAATGCTAAAAATTACTCCAAATAATTCCAAATATTTGTAAACATAAACTCAATTTTTAAATACAGGTTGGGCCCTCCCTGGTGGCGCAGCCGGTTAAAGCACAGCATTGAGAAGCGAAAGCCACTTCCGCATGAGTTTGATCCCTGCCCGCCCCAGAGGTGACCACATGGCGTGGCAGACCTCTCCTGGCCCACCCGCTGCTCCCCTCAGCAGTGTACTTCGTCGATCTGCCTGTTCTGCTCCCCCACTCTGTCTCTGGTGAGGCCTCTCGCCACCCCTGAGCCTCTGGCCTGTACCCCAGTTCTGTATGAACAACTAACTCTTTAAAAAAATAAAATAAAATAAAATACAGGTTGAAGGGGAAAACCATAAATGACAGGACAAAATGCTTAGCATGTTAAGGATGACGTGAGAGCAGCAATTCAAGGTGACTGTACTGTTGTAAATGCGACTAAAGAATATTTGGAGTAGAATCGAAAATGAGCTAAAATTTTCAACATCAAAACTCAACAAGAGAATAATATCTGAATTTATACTGAATTTGAAGGCAGTAATCAAATGTTTATCCTATCCTGCCAGAGAAACTAGGCTCAAATATATTACATGCAAGATGTATCAAACCTTCAAGAAGTACATGATCCAAGTTTTATAAAAATTGTTTCCGACGTAGTTGCAAATTCATTTTATGAGATTAGTGCAACATTAGACAAAGACTGTGTAAGAATATAAATGTACAAGCCAATCTTACTGAAAAGCTCCTTTCAAAAATCCTCAAAAAAAAAAATGAACAATTAAAAAAGAACAATGCATTAAAATTCCCTGTGACTAAGTAAGGTTTATATAGGAAATCTAAGAAGATACCTCGTAATAGCTGAAATATAATATATTACACTGTGAAGTAAGTAGTAAGAATTGTTGACTACTGCCAGAAAAAATACTCCAAAATATTCAACAGCCAAACAGCAATTTTTAAAATATTAGTAAACAACAAATCAGAAGACAGTTCCAGTCTCATTAGATTTCTGTAAATACATACTGGAAATGTCATGCTGAGTTCAAAAACAGGGAGTGCATGCCCGATATCTTCTTTACTTATACTAGAGGCCCAAGCCAATGAAATAAGGTAAGAAAAAGAAAAAAAAAAAGCTCTAAAAATTGGAAAGAAGGGACAAAATTACTCTTATTTTTAAATGGCAAGACTTCCCAGGAAGAAAAAGCCAAAAGAATAAAAATAATGAGTTCAGCAGGTTTTCTGGATATAAAATAAACATATAATAATCAGTAGTATTCTGAGATAGGGCACAGTAAATAAAATATAGAGTATAAAAATAATACTCTACTCATTAAGCCATAAAAACTACAGTTTTCTAGAAGCACATCTATCAAAAATGTTCAAGATGTCTATGGAAAAATATGGAACTACAGGTAAACATTTCATTTGCTGTTATTATAAATTTTTTAATTCATACTAAAATATATTTATGAAAGCCAAAAATATTTGGAGAACTATGTTATGTGCATGAATGCAACAGTTCAACATAAATGTTATTGTTCCCAACTAACTAGTAAACTAATATACATTTGAAAATCAAATAGGCTTTGTTGTTATCTCAATAAGAAAATCAAAGGATGAAGACTAGATAAAATGCTTTTTTAAAAGTAAGCAAGGTAGGCCCTCCCTGGTGGCGCAGCGGGTTAAAGCACAGCACTAGGAAGCAAATGCCACTTCCGCATGAGTTCAATTCCCACCTGCCCCGGAGGTGACCGCATAGCGGCAGACCTCTCCTGACCCGCCCGCTGCTCCCCTCAGCAGTGTACTTCGTCAATATGCCTGTTCTGCTCCCCGCTCTGTCTCTGGTGATTCCTCTCACCCTCTGCATCTCTGGCTTGTACCCCAGTTCTGTATGAATAAATAAATAAATCTTTTAAAAAAAAAAAGTAAGCAAGGTAAGCTGCCCCACAAGTGATCAAAATTCAGCTGTTACGATTATTGGGTGCAGAAACAAGACAAACAAATCAATTAAACAGGATGGGTTGGCCCATCAACATACCCACACATATCTGGAAAGTAAAGGAAAAATTATTCATGAAGTAAAATGAAGGTAATCTATTTCATGAAAAAAATAAATATCTTCCTCATACTGTGCATCAGAATAAAATAGATGGGTTAAGGAGCTAAAATTGTCAAAAACAAAATTTAAGAACTTTTCTAAAATATGGTGAAATATACTCATGACCTCAGTTAAGGAACCATAACTTAAGCTATAAAAGCATCAGCCATACAAAGTGACTGATTAATATGATTAGTCATATGAGTGAGAGAAGTTCAACATACAGTGAAGTGTTAATCCATGGAATAGGAGATAGCTGTGAAATCCACAACCAAACTGCATTAGCAGCTCATCTAAGGATCACCAATATCAATGGGAGGAAAGGAGAAGACAAAAAAGACTCTGAGCAGGCAATTGACAGAAGAGGAAACGGTAACAAACAGGAAAAGGCACAGACGCCCTAGACATGAGAGACAAGCACCACAGCCTACTACTCAGAGATTGGCCGGAGTGCTGGAAGTCTGACCGGGCCATGTGTTAGCGGGGGTGTGAGAAGCAAAAATAAATCGGTAAAAATGCTGATGACAATGAAAACGGTCACAATTACATGGGGGAACAATTGGGGCAACATCAAATAATTCTAAAATGGTACATTCCTGGGAGCCAGCAATTCCTCTTCTAGCTGCAGACCCTGGAAAAGCTCACCACTGTGCACAGTGAGCCATATATAAGAATATGCACTGCAATTTTGTGTGTGCAAACAATAAAATATCTGCCATTGAAAGAATGGGATTAAAAAAAATATATAGCATAGCAGCTAAAATGGATGAACTCAAGCTACATGCATTGTCATGGACTAGTCTCAAAATGACAGTCAGGGCAGGGACAGAGGAAAGCGAAGAATCGCATGTGCTGACGGGGTTGAAGTTTAAACGTGCATGAAGAAACATTCCACACGTTGACCTCTGATGAATGGGCTCTTCTGGGAAGGAGGGAGGGAAGCAAACGAGGGAGACCAGGAGTAGAAACCAAGAGCCTATTGTGGTTGAAATGTTTTGTTTCTTCAAAACTATCTGTATCAAATACGGCAAATGTTAATTCATGTGAACCCCTGTTGCCTGGTGTATAAATGTGAATTGCATTCTTCCATCTACTTTGCTGTGTTTGGCAAGAATCTTAACAGAAACCTCTAAATTGATCAAATGTGATATAATCATTAAAAAGCCCCACTTGGGTGGCTAATACAAAATTGGCATTTTATTCATTTAAAGTTTCCTTCCCTTCACAGGAAAATTTATTTTATCAGCATTTATAAAAGCCTTTCTTCACTGGGCTGCCTACTCTGTTTTCTCAAATGGAGAAGGCTGAATTGAATGCACCCTTCTCCCTGGGGCTCCTGACTGTCTCCCAGAATCAGGTATAAGGCTGAGCGCTCTCGCCCTGATATGAAAGAGACAGCACCCCCAAGGGCTCTGCACTGGAGTCCGCTGCTGACTTGGCTGAAATGCTGAACCCCCAGAGTGAGAAGGTCCTGTAGGTCCCTCCTTGATTCCCTCACTTCCGACACTCCCACTATGATGGACCCACTTGCGGATTCTCTCCTTTAATCAATTTAAAACAAAACCACATCACGGAGCTCCTATTTGTCTGAGGCCTGGCTGCTCTAGATGACCATCTGCAGGAGGCCCACATTCCTTTGCGAATAAAGGGAATGACTCTAGGGGAAGACTACTGATAGCAAGATCACTGCTAATTAAAAGACAATGAGTGCGTGTCACACAAATATGTGCAAATACACTCCTGTGATGCATGGAGACACGCCGCAGAGGCCAGGTCTCTCCAGTGGTGAGCTTTCATGTCACCGCTGAACAGGAAGGAAAGGGAATACCTGGGTGATGGAGGAGTGATTCTCCCCGTTCTAAAACCAGGAGCGGTGCTCCGCTGGCTGCTTTATTTACAGCGCAGCTTCTCTGTATTGGGGTGGGGTGGGTGGGGGTGGTGATTTGTTTCCAAGGAACAAATCTCTACAGACATTTGTGATTGTCACAACTGGGGAACATGCCACAGGCATCTGGTGGGTGGAGGATGATGTTCAACATCCTACAGCACAGAGGATACCTCCTCCGCCTGCTCCCCAAAAGAGAGTGATGGGGCTCCAAGTGCCCACAGTGCTGAGAACACAGACAGCGATGGCGGCAACCCCATAAAGCTCTGTCCTCCAGAAGCTCAGGGCAAGCTCACCCACAGCCACGTGGACAGAAATGGCCCAGCAAGGGTTTATACAGTTCCCTTTTCCTGACCTGGAGCCTGGGTGCCCCTGTCCAGAGTCTAGTTTTCAAGAAGCTTTTCACATTCACCTAACAGCTGTCCAAGGCAAGACAATCAATGGTCCACACCACTCTGACTAGGCCCCGTGGGTTTCTATTTAATGGGTTCTTCCCAGAACACCTCTGTATGTGGACACCAGAAGGTCTCCTTAAAGAGCCAGAGGGTGTGGGGTCGTCAGGGGAAGAATTGGTAGAGGTGGGGCACTTGGGAGAAGCAGGTGGAGGCTGGCTGAAAAGACTGACTGAAAACCTCTCCAGGGAAGCCCCCATGAATCTGCCCCTCAATGGCCCTGCCCTTTCAATAGGGCCCTGAAGTAGGGAATACACCCACACATTCTGCCGGTATCTCTCACTTACCTGATCACACAGGGTTCCAATCAAGCCTTCCAAATCCTGCTTCTCATGGAGGACCATCTGCTTCTCCTCATATTCTTGCTCCAGCTGCATTTCCAGCTGACGGAGCTGTGGGCATAAAGGGCAGATGCATGCTTAGGATAAATGAGATCCATCTGGTCAACCCCACAAGACAGGGTGACCATCTGGAGTTGGGAGGGATGTGGAGCTCATGGCCCCCCTTGCCCAATTCCAAAAAGTCTGCCCAGGCGATTGGGCTGTGATGTCTCTGTCAGGGAGCTCAGGAACCTGAAGTCTGGGAGCTGAACAACTGTGGGAAGAACTAGCCAATTATGGGGAGCCCTCTCCCCCACTTCCCTAGCTAAGACAGATGTTTCATTCCTATGGCCAGGAACATCACATGCATATGTATAAGTCTTGGCACTCTGATTGTTAAAAGCTCCACATATTATATTCAACATATTAAATTGCCTCCCCCTCTCTTATTATATAAATTATGATGCAAGACAAAGTTGCATTTGAGGACATTTGGTGCTGCGAGCTGCATGCTTGTGTACCTCCACAATTCATCTCTGGAAACACTTCAGTCAATGTGAAGGTATTTGGAGATGGAACTTTAGGGGGCATCAAGCTGAAATGAGGCTGTGAAGGTGGGGCGCTCATGATTGGTATTAGTGCCCTATTACAAGAAGAGACGTGGAGGAACTCACTTCCCCTCTGCCTACAGGAAGACAGCTTCTACAGCCAGGAAGAGAGCCCCCTCCAGACAGCAATTCTACTGGCACCTGGGCCATGGACTTCCCAACCTCTGGATCTATGAGACATAGTGTCTAAGCCATTCTGCCTATGATATTGTATTATCGCAGCCTGAACTGAGACTTTCATTTCTGAGGATCTCATTTAATTTACAGATGGCTCTGATTTCTCAGCAATGGCTCAGCCAGGCAGGTAGTCCCCACCAGAGCGGATGCCCCACTCTAACTGTGCTTTGCATGCCTCGCTCATGTCATCTCATCCCTTCACCCTCCTGCTCCATGTTGTGCCATCAGTAACCCTACTTTTCAGATGGGCAAACTGAGTCACAGAGAGGTCACAAAGCGCATCTCCTGTCAGCTGCTGGCGAAAGTAGTTAGTGTTCTGTTTTCTGGCCCAGCTCTCCTGCCAGCCCGGGCAGTCATCAACATTCCCACCCAGGTCGCTTCCAATTGATTTCCTGCCACAGTGAGAGATAGACTGAGCAGAGCAGCCACAAGACATGAAGTCAATGTTAGTGTCTGTCATAAGGAGAAAAACACCTCTCTGACCTCACTCTCTCCATTTATAAATCTGTCAGTGGAAAACTCTCAGGAGGATCTAGCTCACACCTCTAGCTCAGGAGATGGCTCAGGCCTGGCTCTGGGCACCCTTGGAATGCACCCAGCATTGTGAAACCTTCACCTAAGGGGAACCTGGGCAGGGACTGGGGCCTCCCTCTCCTGACCCAGGAAGGGAAACAATTACTGATAGTCACATAGGAAGCAAATTCATTTTGAAACGTTCTTTTGAGAGTAAGAGATACCAGACACTCATATCTGCTTATCAAATGAAGAATGAAAAAGCTAAAGTCATTTTGAAAAACAACAATAGCTATAGGTCAAGAATAACAATGCCTTCTGGGGTGTGTTATGTAGAGTATTTCCACATGGGGTTCACAGGTATGATGTGGGGTATGGGAGGAAGGCAAGTCCATGCTAGAACAGTGTGGGAACTACCAAATAACAGGTTCTCTGGTACGGGACTTATCAGAGCCTTTGGGGAGTTCAGGAATTGCTACAGAATGCAGCATTGCCCAAGCTGACTTCTTTGAAGTGATTCCTAGATGGCCTTTCATAGCCAAACATTTGCTATTTGCAAGCACGCACACACACACACACACACACACACACACAACTAGCATCTTGGCTAAAAGACTGGGCTCTGGAGTCAGACAAACTTGAGTTCAAGTTCCTACCTCTTGATTTCCCAGCTGGATGATCTTGAACAAGTCACTTTCTTTTTCTGATTCTAGTTTCCTCATTTGTAGAAGCAGAACAATGCAACTTTACAGAGTTCTTAGGAAGTATAAACAAGCTGGCAGGCATAAAGAACCCAGTCCCATGTGAAGCATGACAGTCATTTCTCCCAAATATGTGACAGTGGGGCATAAGCAGAAACTGGGCCTCATAACTCCCATCCGTCACTTTACAGCTCACAGGTTACTTCCAGGGAAGGGAGAACATGTCCTATCATCACTCCCATTCTATTGCCAATAGAACTGAGTCTTGGGGTGGTTTTGAGAGTCACTGAAGGTCACAGTGGCCCAACAGAGCTCAGCATCACTGGCTCCTTTTATCTGAGCCTGGGGAGGTCTGGGGGGTGCACCTGGCTCCCATATAAACCTGTGGAGGAAGACAGGTACAAAGGGATCCAACATTTGTCACCTGTAGAGGTCTGGGAATCACCAAGACCCCTCCAGCCCTGCTTAGGATGACATCCCAAGTGCCCGCACCTCCTCTTATATGGATTCATTGTGCCCGAGAGCCAGGCACTCAGCAGGCTGATCAGGCTCAGGGAGGGCAGGCTGCCTGGAAATCTACACGTGCCAGTACTGCTCATAAATTTCCAACAAACAAGGTTTGCATTGCAGAACTCCATGCAGGTTTTCCACATCTGTGGCTCCCTGAACTCACAGCGACCCAAGCAGGTAGCAATTATTAGCCCATTTGACAGATAAGAAACATGCAGCATATTAGCAAGGGTCTGCGATCCTACATCTGGCTGTTAATGGAGTTGGGACTTGATCATAGTCACTGTGACTCCACATAAAGCCAAATCGGCTTTCTTGTGTGTCTTATAAACTGGCTCTGAGTGACCAGTGCTGAATACCAAGCGAGTAGCCAAGGAATGGAATCAATTTTAGTTGAAGTTCAGGGTTGAAAATCACCTTCCCAAGATCACATAGCTGCAGACTTGAAAGAGCAAAGAATCAAACCAAGAGCCGATGGATTTCAACACCCACACTCTCAGCGCCTACAGTCTAGAGGTCTCTGCAGAGACTGCTTAGGGAGCTAATAGCAGGTGTCAGCTTTGGGAAAGGCCACTTCACCCTCTCTTGGACGTTCACAAAGCCATGAAAGGCCTGGGGAGTTCCACCGGGAGGAAGCTGTTGCAGGAGGCTGACGCTGAAGCCTCCCTCTTACGCCCACCCAGTAAGTGTGTCTGTAAGGATGTTTGCCTCTACACCAGATCTAATAATAGAGCGTCAGAAAAATCCTAAATGTCTAACAACAGGAGCCTGGCTGCATACATTACAGCAAAGCCTGGGTGGCTGTTCACAAGTCCACTGAATCTGTACTTACAGACACAGAGAAAGGCCCAGAACACGCTGCAGCGTGAAAAGAGCAGCATGACCTCATCTAGGTAAAATGATGTCTACAAATATGTGTGTGACAGAAAGTGAAAGAGAGATTTGAAAGATCACTTAAAAATAGTCAGAATGATGATGCCTAGCTGCTAACATTTTAAGGCTTTATGCTTTCTTAGACGCTGAAATCTCTGCAAAGAACCTGGATAAATTGTAAGACATTATTTGAGTTGTAAAGGAAATAGCAAGAAGAGACTGGTCCCCTTCTTGATACATGGACATCTTTATGCAAAGCATTCACTACATGGAATTGTGGGCTCTTGGCAGAAATCTTGGGTGATTATGCCAGGCAGTTCTTGAGACTCCTGCGGTTCCCGGATCATATTTACAAAGGTCGTTTTGCCTCAGTATCCTTGAAAGCACCTCGGGAATGAAGGTCTCAAGTGGCTGCAAAAAGAAGCAGGTCTCCCCCTCCCTGGAAGGAAGAGGGCGACACACTGGGCCCAGGCCGAGGGTAAAGGGCATGGCGCCCTGCTCACGTACCCGCTTCTGGCAGGACTGGCGGACATCCTCCAGCTCCTCCTCCTGGTCCTCGCGGTCCTTCTGGTGCATCTGCTTCATCCGCTCAATCTCTAGCTCAAAGCGCTGGCGGAGCTGGGGGCGGCAAAGTTGATGTGTGAGGACCACCCCTCTTCCTGCCCTGCCCGAAAGGTCCCCCTTGGCCATGTTCCTCTTTAAAGTGCATGGGTGAGAGTCAGGTACCGGCCCTGGGCACCCAGGATGGTCAGAGTCAGCAGGTAGGTGGTTCAGAGGCTGCCTCCATCACTCCCTGTGGTCATAACAGATACCACTAACCAATCACACTCTCTTCCACTGAGTTCAAAAGGAACCTCAGATTCCCTCTTGACACTATTAAAGATGAAACAAAGTTATCATGCCCAGAGCAGGCATCAGTGATGGTGTTCTGGATGGCTGGTGTTTTGCCTACAAATTCTGGCATTTAAAGTGAGTCAGCTTTCTGCCACAGAGTGTAACATGGACTCTGACGTCCACTTCCCTAAGACGTTACCTGGGTCAGACTACTTGGCCTCTGTTCTGTTCCCTCTCTTCATAGAAAACAAGAATCTTTGAATGCTATTATAGAATTAAATCAGGTGGTCCAAGCACTCAGTACAGCGCCTGGCACATGAATATTGAAGTCTTTTGCCCATTATTTGATAGACAGGAAGGAATATCCCCACTCTTCCTGGCAGCCTGAAGGACACAAGTCTTCAAAACTTGTTCTTGTACCTGGTATTTGAACCGGCTGACGTTGCATGAAAAGTTCTAGAATTAGACAAAGAGTCATGTGTTCCAGTTCTGCGTTAAGATTTTACTTGATCTGCGTCACTGAAGATGTGCCAAGATCTTGCTGCTTGAATTCTGTGGCACATTAGAATTATCTAGTGTGTTTTTTTTTTAAATGTAAATTACAAGGTTTTACCCTGGGCCTTTGGATCACAATCTCTAGGGTCCAGACCCCTAGAAGCCACACTTTCAAGCTTTCATTTATTTCTCCTCGCTTGGACTGTGGGGACCAATAGCCACATTTAGGTGAGTTTTATTGTGAGAACTGTGACTTCCTGGCCATTTACAAACAGCCCAGCGCCTCTCAGCAAGCCTTCAGGAGGTGACAACTACTATCCCTAACATAGGAATGAAGCTGAGAAAAAAACAAACTTGGTCTTTTAAAAGGCTGATCATTTTCTCTGCCTTGAAAGACTGTAGCGAAGAGTAAAATGGGAAGCGGACAAAGCAGACGTCAGAGCCCCTATTACAGTTCCTGGCATAAAGCAAGCTCACTTTAAATGTCAACTCCCTTCCTTGCCTCCTTTAAAATGACAGAGGTTATGGGATGATAATCCAAAATGAGGAGCTTAAGCAAGTAAATGTAATATTTCTTTTTCATTTTTTTCCCTAGCCTCTTGGACACCCCTGACATCTGCAATACCATTTATGTCAGTTTCTATGAGTTAACATAAAATTCCCTGGAAAAGATGCAATACTGTAATCAATAAATATCTCCTGGACCGCTCGAAGGGCACCGTGCAGTGCGGAGGTGCTGGGTGAAGCTGACAGGTGCAAGCATCAAGTCAGCGTTGCCTCCTGTGTAAGCTGAGAGGCAGTTGGGAAGCAGCATTAAGCTTGGGGGTCTCTGAGGTTGTCATGGGGGTTTCTGAGGTTGTCACGGGGGCATGTTTCTGTTTCCAAGCAGGAGGTGCTTTGCTGGTATCTGAAGGAGTTAACAGTTTTCCAAAGTGCTTGCTTTATTCTCGATCGGGGCTGCTCTGTGTCACTGCACCGGCCTCTACGATCCCTAATGACCTACACAGACAGTCCCCCTTCTTTGTGAACCTTCACAGAGTTGGGGCTGAGGTGGAGGGATGAGCACGACTCAGATTTCATTGTACAGATGAAGACTGACGTCTAGAGAAGACAGGGGATTGCCCACTAAGGCCAAAATGGACAATGGGACCTCCTGGAGGGCCCCAGCTAGATGTGATCATATCACAGCTCCTTGAAGGCTGCATGACCTTTGGGCCTCCAGGCCTTTGCATAGACTATTCCTTCTACCTGGTACTTTCTTGGCTGAGCAACTCAGATTCATCCCTGTACTCAGCTTTTGATGTCAATGCCACTTCCTCCAGGAAGTCTTCCCTGATGTTCCCCAACCCTGCTCCCAAAGCCAGACCTGCAGCTTTCCCCTAGGACTGACCATGTCTACAATGTTTACAGCTGCATTCTTAGATCTACCCATTGCCTGACACAAAGCAGTTGCTTAATAAATATGGCAGTCTGAGTGAGAAGGAGTTCTGCTTTCTGAACTGCTCCAGCCCCCTCCCCCCTTGCCCACCACATTCAGGTTTCAGTACTCGGAAGGCTCCACGCCAATGGAGAGAGAAACAAAAACTGACCCCCCAGTCTTCTTCCTACCCCAACTCCAAAGATCCTCCCTTTCACCAGAACTTTCCACAGTTTGTCTACTTCACATACTCCAGCTGCCTGATCAGATTTTCTTGAAAAGGGGCTCCCAGGCTCTAAAGCACAAAGATAATTGTTCCTTAGGAGATCCCACCTGAGAAGCCATGCTTCTCCCTGAAAAGCTGTTTCGTTTTTATCTTGAGTGTAATGCAAAGCACATCATACATACTCTCTTTTGCTCTCTGGTCACCAGGAACAGTAGACAGAAACTCCTCCTGTGGCGTGTCCCAGGGGAGGTTCACCTGCAAGGTGGTTCACTGGCCCACCCTGCCTTGCGTCTTCTGTGCTTTTCTGATTCAGATTGTTAAATCTGTCATTTTTCTATTTTATTTATTATTTATGCAGACATCTTCTAAGCTGTCCAAAATTCTTTGTGGAGTGAGTGGGCAAATAAAACATCAAACGAGGAAAATATTCATCTGGTACTTTGTTGGCACAGTGGGCACAAAAGCACTTGTTCTGCTGCCTTCTTCCCCGGAGCTAGCGTGTTTCCTGACGTCAGCATCCCAACCTTCCTTGCCAAGGCTATGCACCTAGTGGGGACTCAAGACTCTGCGAAGTCAGGAGACACAGGCTCTAGATTCCATCCCTGCCACTTTCTCGGAGACTCGGTTTCCACATCTGTGCAAAGGGACGAAGAGCTAACACCTCACTGGGTAACGAAGGGGGGGCTTCCCTAGATGAGGTGTGGGACTGCTTCGGACTGGCCTGGCCACAGACAGTGTTCAGTACACATCACACTTGGTCCACGGTTACTCAGTGGCCACCAATTGTGGACCTAATTAACAAGATCTGTGAAGAGGAAAAAAATCTACCTTTTTGAAACATATTGTAATGGGGGAGAGAAGCCTCAAGCACACTGTTTAAAGTCATATTGAATAATGACAGTAGGTACTATGAAGAAAGACAAATGAGCTAAGAGAGGGACCGAGTTGGGTAGGGGGTGAACTATTTTCAAGAAGGCCACGAGGCCGGTTTCTCTGACGAGGTGACCTGACTTGCAGGATGGCAGGAGTAGGCAGGTCATGAAGGGTCTGATGCCAGAGAGGCTCTCAGGGTAGCAGGGAGCCACAGAATGAGCAGCAGCTGAGGGGGTGCCCTGGTGAGATGGCAGTAACACCCCTCTGGGGTCAGCATGGGACAGGACATGAGCCCAGGCTTCCTACCTGCTCCAGCTGCTTGATGGTATTTTCCTGCTGGCTCTGGATTTTCTGTTGCTCGAGGGCACTGGACTCCAGTTTCCAGAGCCTCTCCTTCAAGCCAGCAACACAATTTTCCCCCAGAGAGGGTGACCCCAGCAGTTCCTGCTTCTGGGCCTTCAGCATCTCCACCTCTTGCTTCAAGTGTGAGGTTTCCTGCTCTTTTTGCTACAGAGACAAAGGAGCATGATGGGAGCCACATGCCGCCCTCCCCCCAGGTTACCCCTCCCACTTCGGCTTGGTGAGGTCTCTGCTATTCAGGAGCACCTCCTCCCCTTTGCTGCATGGCTCCTCAAAGCGCCCCCTGTGGTCACCAAGGGCTGCTCCCTGGGACTGCTCAGATGGGCAGTGGTGGGGGCATTCCTGGGTGAGCAATACCACCGCCTCAGAATTAGACCTCCACGCAAAGAGGGAAATGCCCACTGAATTTGCAAGCTGTGTCCCTGCAGAGGCTCAGACTGACATTTTGGAGCAGTGAGGAAAAGTATTCAAAAATGAGTCTTCTGGGTTAGAAGTCATCCCAGGAGCAAAGAATGTTGGGCTACAATCATGAAGGAGCTAAATGCTAGGCTAAGAGGGTTAGAGGTTCTCTTGGGGGTAACAGGGAGCCGCTGAAGAGTGAGGAGCAACCGAGAGAGGTGCTCATATTGCACTTTAAGAAACCCCCATGCCCTGGAGTCAGCCCGTGGACAGAGGGCTTTAGTTAACTCGTTCTATGATGAGTCTCTCATGCCTCCCAGGTGGTTACCTTGGAATTCATGCAGGTGACCAGAACAATGTCTAAATGACATCAAGTCACAGAGGTCTAATATCAATCTTCTAAGCACTGTAGATTTTATTAAGGCATGCTGGGCTCCATGGCTCAGCTGGCCGGCAGACTGACACACCCACAGAGTTGTCTCCTGGACAGTGTGTACAAATGAGGCACACGGGGCTTCCTGAAGGTCAGCCACTAACACCCAGATGTCCCTGAGTCCCCTCACCCCTTACCGTCAACTGTTGCTGAAGCTGGCCAAGTTCCCATCGGACACTGGTGTTCTCCTGGGTCACCTTCTCGCGAAGTCCCTTCTCAAACACAGACTCGCCCAGGGCCTGGGCCAGCTGCATGTCAAACCTGTCCAGGAAGAACACATGTCAGGGCATCCAGGACAGAAGACGAGAAGTGTAGAGAGTTTGCCAAGAGCTGAGAGCAGAGAGGGAAAGACAGGAGTGATGGAGGGTTTGCACCATGCTTTCCAGTAAACCTGGAAAGGAATCCAAGAGCAACTTTAGAGTGCAATGGCATTTCCACAGAAATACCGGACACATTGAACATATGATAAAAAGATAAAATTAGAATGTTATATACAAACATAGAATAGGAATGAAAAATACAAATACAGAAAAAGCTCATCGATCTGGTTTGCACATGCTGTAGCGAAGCTTAGGTGCTCACAAGCTCTATTTGTGCATGACAATTACCGACAAATATTGGACATCTAGATACTCAGTCTTGTTTTCATTTTCCTCCTAAGCAGAAAGCACAAGACGGTCCTCCTGGAGCCATTCAGAGAACTAGGAAATGCTTCCACTGGGGCCCACCTGCCCCCAACACCCTCTGTGTGAAGAGCACCCTCAACTTGCCATCACTTCATGCAGCTGTCTCAGCCTTCCAGCCTAAGTGCAGGTGTGGAGACCAATAGAAAAGGCTCTATCAAGTCTCAACAAGATAAGGCACTCCTTGTCCTCAGTCCACACAGAAAGTTGCACTGCTCCAGGCTACTTGCTGAAGCCAGAATGGCCAAACTGGGATGAGATTTAGGCTGGGTGAGAAAAAGATCTCCCATGATACAGGATCATCCAAGCTCTCTTTACACTAGGTGGTCATTCAAAGCCTAGACTCAGACTGAGAAAGGCAATCTTGGGTTTGTAAGGAAGCCCCACTGTTAGAATGGCCCAGGAGCTCTCTGATTGGCTCCTGGGGATGTCACTCAGGAGGTACTATTGGCTGATTCTGAATGACAACATTGTGATGATGACAATGATCCGAGTCCCAAAGGGCCAGGTTCTGGGCTGGGTCCACACGGTCCTCCGAACAATTTAGCAAAAGAACTGAAGTTCAGAGAGGTGGTGTGGTTCAGCCCCAAATTCCAAAGAGGTAGGAGGAGGCCTGTGCTCTGCTTCTCTCCTGTCTTGGTCAGTCCCTCCCACCTGCCTCTACTCTGGAACAGCTGGGCTAGAACACTGGGAGCCAGACAGGGACTAGTGTTTCAAAGGAGTCCTTGGCTTAACAGATCCTGATGCCAAAGGCTGGCTCCTACGGATCCTTACTTCTAGACCCAATGATTAACCAGTTACTCAAGGCCAGGTGAGTTTGAACACACTCTTCACTCCGCTTAGAGTGGGCCTCTGTGGTCCAGCTCCCACTTACAAGTGTAGGCTTAGCAAGCCCACACAGGGGTTATCCCAAGTGGCAAGCTGGGAATCCCATCATGCCTCACAGAACATTGTGATGTGTGGGGTAGCCATGGCAGTAAGAGTCAACTCTAAATGCAGCCATTCTGGGTCTCTCTGAACTTAGAAGCCACAGTGGGATTGGAAACACCACCAGTGTGTTCATATCATTCCCTCCTGGGCTCCGTTCATGAAGGAGGAAGCCATGTGTACAATTTGATTACCCTTAGAGGATGTCTACTGCTAGCTTCGAGATCTTGCACAATAGGCCCACCTCAACTCCCACCATTAGAGTCAGCCTTCTATTGCCCTCACAGACAACCTGCCAAAATGCTAAGTATGAAGACTTAGGGGTTCCTCTGGGGTGCTTCAGAGGCTCCTCAGTACCTGGAATAGGGCATTTTTGCCCAAAGGATTGAGTAAAAGACCAAAGATGCAATTTTCCGATTGCCTAGACGCCAGGGGCAGGCACCTTCTCCTAGTGGAGACTCTCCACAAGGCCCTGAGAAAGGGAGAGGGCGGGCCAATACTGTCCTATCTCACAACACCTGGGAGACACTGAGTCCTCACTTCTCTGATTTATAGGCATTTGTCGGACCCCTTCTCTGGGGGCTTCTTTAAGGTCTAGGGCTCCTCTCTGGCCCAAAGAGGTGGTCACTTTTGATAAGATCGTACAGTAAATGACAAAGGTAGGACTAAGTTTATTTCCCCACTGCAAGGGCAAAATTTAGCCTGAACACGCATGGGAAGGAGAGAAGAAAACAGTTAAATATCAATAAGAAGATAACAAATCTTTCTCATTTGGGGAGTATGTTAACAACCTCTAAAAGTTTTTTTTTTTTTTCCAGATGAAAAAGCCAGATCAGAAAGCTCAAGGTTAAGTGAAAGAAACAATATTTAACACAGATTAGGCTCAAAATCTATGCCACTCCTATAGAAATATAATTTAGCTTGGAATTAAGCTTTCTTGAAAAAGTGGTGCTCTCAGCAAAACCATGTCCCTAGCGCACATGAGAGTACTTTTCTGTATTTTATCCTGGCCCTCCTAAAGGAGGCTGTGTTTCATCTATTGGCTGCATATGAAGTCGGCATTAGGACTTGCCTGGCTCACACAGGACCTCTTTACCCTCACAAAGTGAACTGAAGAACTTCACACACAGCCAAGGCGCCCAGGGATAAAAGCATCTCAGCTACTTAAGTTTCACATAAAAATCCCTTCTTGAGCATGAACTTGGACTCTAACCCAGGCTCAGCCATTGGCTGTTGGGCACACAACCTGACGGGCAGCCCAAGTGTGGGCATCAGCGAGCAAATCCGAGGGGCATCTTGTTTCTACACAAAGGCCAGTCCTCACCAGAACTGCTTACCTGACCTGAGAATTTAAGCCCTAAACGGGAATAGCAGTGGCTTCCTCCTCATTCTCTGGCCCTGTTTTCACAGATAATAGCAACTGTGCTACTTAGTCCTCACCACAAGGGGACATTTCATCCCCTCCCCTCACCCACCCTTCCCCAAACCCTCCAATCTAAGGAGAAAGAATGAATGTGAGGCTATTTAATGACTTTAACTGCAGAGTTAAACGATTCATCCAAGGTCACACAACTAGAAAGAAACTCACGGGCCAGAGTGGAATCAGAACTTGGAGCTAGAAAGAGAGGGGTAAAAACAGCAACACTTGGGCTCCTAAACCACACTAGGCTTTCTTTGCCTTCCACAACAGACTTCACTTGATAAATGGGAAGGTTGGGACCCAGAGAAGGCAAGAAAGTTCCCCAAAGCCACATGGTCACGTGGTGATAGACATGAGCCTGCAGAACGGAAAAGACTCTCCTAGCTAGATTCTTGGAAGAACCTTGCAAGAATGAGTGAAAGGAGCGAGTGGAAACCCAGGGCAGAACGAGGGTGTAAGCCCATGGATACGGCGCCTGGCAAAAGGGAGGGCGCTGATGCACAGAACCCAGAAACCCCAGAAGGCCCTGCCCAACGCAGCCCACCCCGGCAGCGAGGTGCTGGCCGGCTCGACCGTGACTCACTTCTTTTGCTTCTTCTCGAGTTCATGGTTTCGGCTCTGCTGGCTCTCCAGCTGTAGGCGCGTGTCCTCCAGCTCGCAGGTCAGATGGCGGCACTTCCGCTTCAGCTGGTGCGCCGCCATCTTGGTGTCCTCATAAGCGTGCTGCAGCTCCCCGAACTGTGGGAGAAACGAAACGAATTGGCCCACTGTTGAAACAGAACGAACTTCCTACTTTTTCTTTCAAGCAGCTGCCACTTCCCCTTTGAGTACCATGGAAAAGACCAGACGCCTGTCTCGAAAAGACCAGATAGGAGAGAACCTGTCTTGGCCACATTCTGCCTGCGTCACTTTGAAGAAGCTACTTGTCTGACCCTTCGTTTGCTCCAAAGTAATTGAGAGTAATTCCATTCACCTCCTGGGTGGTATTCACTTTTCCTCAATAATCCTTCCACAAACATATGCATGGATGTTTCACAAGCCCCACTTCGGCGTGACCGCCCCTTGAGTTTGGTAACATCAGTAGCCCTATCGGCTGGCATAATCTGTGGAGTAGGATGATGATTAGCCATGAGCATTAGCTCTGAAATAGCCAAAATGGCACACCCAGAAAATCTGACCAGGAAACCCTGCAGACAGGCTTTAAAGGTTAGCGCAGGAAATGGCACTTGAGATGGGCTGGCTACACAGAAATGCACATGGCGGTAAACAAACAGAAAAGCAAAGCCTCTTGCATCTGCCTCCAGGATCACCCGCCCAAATGTCCTACTTTAGATCTGCAAGAGAGGGCAACTCAGCACACTCGCTTTGAAAAAAATTGCCTCATTAAAGAATTGCTTTAAATAAGCAAAACACTGAGTTAATGAAGCCTGTAATTCTAAATTCAGTATTTGAAGGCAAATGGGATGTTTTCTTATATTCTGCTGCTCAGAAAAGGTTGCAGTTTTATTACTTTTTAATGTAGCATGAATATTCTCCTTCCTTGGGGAAACTGACCCAACTTTGTAATTTGTTGTTAAAGAAACCGGGCTATTTCTCTACAGTGGCCCTTCTGTGTTTATCCACAGCTCAAGGTGGCCCTTGACCACAACATGGTGTCCGTCTTAGAGGCCACACTGAAACCACCACTGAGGAGGATACTGAAGTTTGCTTCCATTGTTGATAAACTTAATGTGCTCTTGCCCTGGCCCAGCTCTGCGAGGTGACCATGTGATACTTTCTCCTCACAATGAGGAGATAAAGATGATGGTAGGACTGGCAGACATGACCTTGACCGCCCCAGCACTGGCCTCAAATGGGAGAGATTGAGAAATAGGTGGGTAATGACAGTGCAACATGATAAAGCTTACATTTGAGGAAACAACTTAGGGGTACCTGACCCAATCCGTGCCAGAGAAGACTTTCTGGACGGTGTGACATTTGAGCTGAGATCTTAAGGGTAGTTGAAGATGCCGAGGCAGGGGAGAGAAAAGAGGAGTTTAAGAAGAGCAAGTGGCATGGCCCATGGGTGAGATGAAATAAGGTGTTTTTTAGGAAAGGGGAAAAAGAGGCAATGAAACAGAATAGAGACCAAACCAGAAATAGATGCTGAGAAATGCAGTCCATTGATCTTTCACAAAAGGGCAAAGGCAAAGCAGAGGAGAAAAGAGCCTCTTCAGCAAACGTCGCTGGTACAAGCTAGCATCCACATGCACAAAAAAATGACTCTAGATACTGACTTTACCCACTTCACAACAAATATTAATTCCAAATGGATTGCAGACCTCAATGTAAAAAGCTAAACTGGTAGAGTTCCCAGAGAAACACAGGTGAGAGCTTTGGGTCTGGAAATGATTTTTTTGTGGTTTGATCCCAAAGGTGTGGCCAGGGAAGCATGGATGAGCTGCACTTTATGAAAACTAAAAATTTCTGCTCTCACCTAAGACACTATCAAAAGAATGAAACAAGACACTGATGGAGAAAATATTGATAAAAGACCTATGTAACAAAGACACATTATCCAAAACAAATCTCTTCAAACTTAAAAATCAGAAAACAAGTTCAGCTGAACATAGCCCAGAGACCTGACCTTCCCAAACCACACAGAGGGCAGGGAGCACGCGGAGAGGTCTCCACAGCAGAACTTCTGGGGCGGTGGAGAGGGGGGGTGGAGGGAGATGCCGAACAGCAGGGCAACTTTGGGAGGCAGTTTGGTGGCTGTTATAAAACTAAACACCCTCTTGCCATACAATCCAGCGACTGTGCTCCCGTACCCAAAGGGGATGGAAATTTATGTCCACAGAGAAACCTGTACATAATTTACAGCAGATTTACTGATCACTGCCAAGCTTGGAAGCAACTGAGATTCCTTCAGTAGGTGAATGGACAAATAAACTGTAATATAGCCCACCAACGGTATATGTAGCACTTGAAAGAAATTCGCTGTCAAGTCGTGAAGGGAATTAAATGGAAATTGCTAAGTGAGAGGAGTCAGTCTAAAAGGAGGCAGCTGTGCGGTTCCAACTGTTTGACATTCTGAAAAAGGCAAAACTATAGAGTGCAAAATGATCGGTGGTTACCAGGTGTGGTGGGGAGGGAAGGGTAAGCATACAGAGCACAAAGATTTTTAAGGCAGCAAAGTTATGCTAGGAAACTATCATGGTAGACACATGCCACTGTATGTTTGTCCAAATCTATGAGGTGTACAAGAGCAAGCACAAGCCAGAATGCGCACTAAGGACTTTGGATGATGACAATGTGTCAGTATAGGTTCAGCAGCTGTAACAAATGTCCCGCTCTGGTGAAGGGTGTTAGTAGGAGCTGGGAGTGCATGGGAAATCCCTATACCTTTCCCTCAATTTTGCTGTTAACTTTAACGTGATCTAAAAAACAGTCTTTTGAAAAAGACAACTGAAGTGTGTTTGGACTTCGAGCTGATTTATAGTGATTTGACTTAAGGATGCTGATTGCATCCATCCCATCCCAACTCCATGTTTACTGGCATCACATTTGGAATCTGAAATTGGCTGTGATGGGAGTATTTAAATCACAGCAATTAGTGGTTGGTATCAGGGCTTACATTTATTTACCAGCTCACCACTGGTTAGATTATAGACTAGTTAGAAAAGAACCAGTCTGTACAGCAGATTTGTGGTGGTTGAAGATTGACGTAGGCTATGCTACGTAGCCATGCTATCTTTTGACAAGGTCTGGGCAATGGGGGAGACTCCCGAGAAGATGGAGGCTGCTTGGTTCCCCAGAAGATATACAAAGGGGAGTTCTGGTTCCCAAGAAGACACAGTAAGGGGCGCCTCCATAGCAATGCTCACTGAACTACCTTGTACTTGTTCTTGGCTAACAGCAGTTGTATTTGAACATCAAGCAATTCTTGGCCCTCCTTTTGTGTGTGTGTGTGTGTGTGTGTGTGTGTGTGTGTGTGTGGCCTAATTGGGCATTGAGAACTGGTTACAAAATGTTTAACAACTGACAATGATTTTCTCAGAAAAGTACCTTAGCATAAATCAAGAATGTAGATTGTCTTTATAAATTAGGATATACTTCCTCCTGGAACAGTTTGGAACCTGGGAAAGGATTATTCATAGGAGAACTTAAAGACTTTCTGCTTTATTTGAGATGCTGACTAGAATGATTGATCATGCTGAAAAAATGGGGACGCTGATTGTTTTTGGTGGTTTTCTTTCTATGATCAAAAGAACAACTTTGAAACATATAATTACAAAGTTTTGGTGTAGCCATGGAAATTAATTGTTAAAGATTTGCTTCAGTGCCCATACTGATGTAATCTCACTGCTTGGAAATTGTTTAAATAAAGAACTGCTGAAGTTTTCGGCAGGAGATACTTGCACCAGCTAGAGTGTCAGTGTCTGCCTTAATTGCTCATTTCGCCAACGCCACCTTATCCTTCAGGAAAAGGACCCCTGACCAGCCACCTGTCAGAGCTGGACTTTGATATCTGGCGTGGTCTCCAACAGAAGATGGTGCAAGACATGCAAAGATGTTGAACTATTACTATGCAGATTTTGAGATGCTATAGATACATCATGTTTGGAATGTCTAGCTGCCCTTTGAAGAAAGCAAAGACAATCTGGGGATATCAGAAAAGCACAGAACATAAAACAAGAGCATTACTGGTAGAGAGTGACGGCAGGTAGGGAGGACAAGAGGGATGGTTGGGAGATCCAGAAGTGCTCCCAAGGATAGAGGCTGTGTCTCAGTGTGCCCGTGGAAAGTGGGGGTTGGAATGAAGATCCTTGTGTTAAGTCAATTCACAAAGAGTCACATCTCAGTGAGAGGCGGCAAGAAATTGCAGCCGCTGGTCTGGAAGGTGGTAACAATGTGGCTGCCACCCTGACTCAAGGTAGGGAAGAAAGAAATGGAAACCCCAGGCCCATCGCTCTTGTGGATTCAGAACTCAAATCAACACTTTCTTGTGTTGCAAACACGTGAAACTGAGCATTTAGCATAATCTCAGGCTACTGTGGAAGTGCAAAAGTGCCTTTTTCTAGAGGAATATATAACAACCCTGCAAGCAGGACTCATATTAAAATAAATAAAAATATTAAAATATTAAAAAACAAAAGCCAGCTAAATGCAAAACAATTCACCTAGAGTCAGAAGGAAAAAAAAAAAAAACATTCCATCATGCAGACCACCTGGGGCTACTATTAAGGGGGGCAAAGGGGAGGGAGGCTGCTAAAGATAAGCTCACATTTAAAATTTACACATCCCATGGAAGTTACACATCATTTGGAATTAACAGAAAAAGCTGCAAGAAACCCCAGAAGATCCCTTGGTTGCTGTCTGGTGGAGGGGAAACCAGTTGGAAGGCTGTTGCTCTGTTCTAGATGAGGGCTGGCAGTGGGAGATTAGAATAATGGGAATGGGAATGGGTAAAACGTGGCTATTTTAAGAGCAGATTGCAATCATTTTATAGGTAAGAAATAGGAGATCCAAAAGTGAAAGTGATTCTCACAAGGTCAAAGTAGAAATGTGACTGGAACTCAACAATCCTAAGTTAATGTTCATATTCATTATACCATAGAGTATTCCTCCCTAGAGTAGTTTGCTATTTTGCATATCCTGGCAGTGGCCAGAAATTGGAGTTGTGGTGGGGTGCAAACACTTGAAATGGCCAGTTCTCTTTCTCCCTGCTTGGTCAGCCAACACTGTGGTCACTCACAGTGGAGATAGAAACCGCCCATTCTCTGGCACAGTTGTGTCCAGACTACCCACTACCTCTTACCTTCTGTTCCAGCTCTTTCCTGGAGGTCAACTCGGAGTCCAACCTCTCCTCAAATTGCTGTAGACGCTTTCTGAGGAACTCATTCTCCAGCTGAGCACAGTCGAAACGCATCTGCCACTCATCAGCTGTTACTCAACACAAAGTCAGGGAGGCAAGGGGAAAGGCTAGGTGAGGCAAGGTGGCTCACTTCCATTTCCTCAGCTCTTTGTACACAATTTCATATTTTAAGAGAGCCCCCAGGCTCTCCCTGGTGGCACAGTGAGTTAAAGCGCAGCACTATGAAGCTCTCTGCAGCCACCATGACACGAGTTCTATCCCAGCGAGGGAGGTGACCCACATGGCATGGCAGACCTCTCCTGACCCAACTGCTGTTCCCCTCATCAGTGCATTTCAGTCAATCTGTCTCTTTTGCTCCCCACTCTGTCTCTGGTGAAATCTCTCACCCCCTGCACCTCTGGCCTGTACCCCAGTTCTTGTATGCATAAATAAATCTTGAAAAAAAAAAAAAAAGGAGAGATAGCATTCCCATGAATCAATACTGAACTTCAGGTTAGGAAAGCCTGGTTTAAGTTCAAACTTAGGGAAAAAAACAACTCCTCCAGGCAGCTTATCCTGACCACCTCTCGTCGCTTCAAGTTGTTGACCGCTTACTGTCCTAAACTTGGTTGTTTAAGAAAGTTCAACTTCTCTAGAACTGTACATGTACCTTTATTTTCCCAAGGGCATCCATAATCTTTGAGGGCAAGGAGCACGACTAGTCATTTATGGGTCCTCAACACCCACCAGAAGAGTTTTAGGCAGAAGATTCTCCCGATGTTGATACAAGTTTACCAACAGGAATTATCCTACTGACCAACCACAGTGGGTGGCAGAATATCTAATCAGTGACTGGTGGTTGGATTAACAAATAAACCAATAAGCACTAATGAAGGGTCACCGTCACCATAGTCCCTAGTGTTCTTCCTTGTTCCTGTTGTAATCCCCCTCTCTCCCTCCCCTGCCCCGCTGAATGTCACTGATGTACTTGTCTGTTTTTTCTTTTTGTTCCCCAATTCCTTATTTGACTGGCCCAACCACTACAGAAAGCTGTGTGGAGGTCCCTCATATTACTAAAAATGAAGCTACCATGTGACCCAGCAATTCCACTCCAAGGAATTACCCAAAGGACACAGGAACAGTAATTCAGAAGGAAAACCTACACCCCTACATTTATGGCAACACTGTTTACAGTAGCTAAGTTATGGAAACAACTTATATGTCCCCAGATAACAAGGTGAGTCAAGAAGGTGTGATGTAGCTACACAATGGAACACCATTCTCTAGTCCAGATAAATTCATGCCACTCACAGCAACATGGATGGAGCTGGAGGGCATTATGCTCAGTGAATCAGTCAGAAGGATAAATAAGAATATCAGATGGTCTCACTTGAGGAATACAGGAGAAAGGTATTATTTCTTGACTGTCCAAATAAAAGAGTAATGTCCCTTGAGGTAACAGAACTGCAGAAAAAAATCCCCCAAGTGGAGAGAGTAAGATAGAGACCGTACTCTCTCTCTCTCTCCATGTACACATCCATCCATCAATCCGTCTGTCTGTCCATATGTCTATCTGTCCATCCATCCATACGTCCATCTGTCCACCCATCCATCCATCCATCCATATCTCTATCCATCATCCATTCATCCATCCTGTCTCTCTAGTCATCCAAGTATCCAACTATCTATCCTATACTCTTTCCTCTACCTTCCCTACAGCCAAACACTTATTGAGCACACCATTCCATGGCAGGCACAGGGATGATAAAATGAATAAGAAGCCAATTTTTCAAGAATCTAGTGGAGGGGAAAATACTTTAAAGACCTAGAAAGGTCAACCAGAATGATGAGGGCTCTCATAGTGAACCTTCAGAAATCTCTCCGTAAGACTCAGTCATACAGGGGCCAAACTGTCTTTGTCCTTCACTATGCTTCCAGGGCTTACCACAATGTCTTGCATCATCAGTGCAACACACTCCTTAGTTAGGAGGATGAATGGATGGATGTTAGGATGGCTGGATAGGTGAATATAAAAATGGGCACACACACTCGCTCTGTGTTCTACAGAGTGAATGGTGGGTCACAAAACTAGTGCTACCCCTTCATCAGGGGATCGCCAACCTCCCTGCTCATGGGTGTTACTCATGGGTGCATACAGTTCATTACTTCATCATCTACTAGCATTTTTCCTGGGTTTTTCTGACCTTCCCCATTTATATCACAAGTGTTTTGAGAACAGGACTCAACTAAAATTCTTCTCGGGAACCTGCAGGTCCAACTCAGTGCTGGATGGAAGTTTCTCTTTAAGTACTTAACCATGCATAGAGGGAAAAACATTTTTAAAAATAATTCATACTCCAACATAATACATAGAGGAAGTTGTGGTGGCATTGCAATGTGGTAGTTAAAGTGTTTTATTGCTTCATTCAAATTTCCTATATCTTGGAGATTTTCTATAATGAGTATGTATTACTTTCCTAATGAAAAGCAAAATATTTGTGGGCTGGTTTCTGGAAGGAACGTCTAGAGTGGAGAGCCCATCCAGCATGGTGATGAATACGCTCGCGAACGAAGCACATTTTCCCCTACTATTCAACACCCATATCTTTCCACAGAAAATCAAGTGACGAGAAGTGCTTAGACATAAATCACAGTCGGGAAGCAACCACGGCTGACATCCTTCTGGTGTGAAGGAGCCGTTCTGGGCAATCCACCCCCACTCTGTGCGCACATCCTACTCGGTGGTCTCCTGTATCAGAGGGCCTCAGGCTCGTCTGTATTCACCTCCCGGTGAACTGCTGCCCTCAGGGCAGCCGAGATGGGAGGAAAAAGAGTTGGAGGAAAGAATATGCTCTTTTACTCATGTCTGTCACCCCCTGCCTCTGTCCCTCTGGAGTGTCCCTGACGTTTCTAGGGCATAAGTCCCCTGGGGACATTGAAGGAATTATGCTGATGCTTTACAAAAGCTGAGCCACTGGGCACCTTCTCACCTGATTCATCTGGGCTGCGGAGAGTTGCTGATCAAGATGCCACCGTGCCCAGCCAACCCGGGACCTGAGTCTCCAGGCAAGTTGTGAGATGGCACCTCTGACCCTCCTAGCTCTGCTGAGCACACACACACTGGGACATACAGGGGTCTCTCGTCTCTCCACTTGCTCAATAACTGCCCAACACCACTTTTAGGTGAAGACAGCAGCAGATTCTGCTGCCAGTGCTTCAGCGAGTGCCACTGCCCCTGCAGCTGGTGGCTGTGAGCCGGGGGCCATCGTCACCAGCAGGAGAGATGCTCTGGAGGATAAACCACCAGCTAACAGCGCTCTGGGCCAGGTGTGTGCTCAACATTTCCAGTGCATCTCCTATGACTAAATCCATCTGAAAGACGGGAAGACCAAGGCACGGTAATTTCTTTACCCAGAGCCACCTCCCTGGTAAGAGACAGAGTCTAGATTTTAACCGCTGAGCTGCTTCCTTCCAAATTTATGTTCTAGCTATTCACATAAATATAAAGATGTCTTATCCATAGAACCACTTACTTTTAACCATCGTTTACATTATTACTAGAGAGTTTATGTCACACTGATAATTTATTATTTGGGGGGGCTGTTGGAATGTCTGTTTAACGTCTCTCTTTGCCAATGGACTGTAAGTTCCAACACAGCAAAGTCTGTGCCCGTTTGCTCTGCCAAAATCTCAGTCCCCAGTGCAGCAGCTAGCACACAGTCAGTCTCAAGGGGAGGACGGATGGATGGACGGCTGGAAGGATGGAATAAAACATAGCTTTTTCAAAAATAGAAGTAGCTTTCTCCATCAGCATCCAACCCCATGGACTCACCTCCTCCTGTGTGACTCCTTTCCAGGTCCTTCAACTGAATTTTCTGCTGGGCTTCTTCCAGCTGCTTCATCACGTCTCCCAGATTCTTCTGAACTTCCTCATACTTGCTCTGAAAGAAAGGTCTTGAGGTCTAAACTGGAGCTAGATAGAAGCCTGGGCTGGCAATCTCACCTGGGGCCCCCTCAAATCCAGACTGGTCACCCAGTGTGTAGTCCCCATACATGGTGACCTTATAGAGAGGACTGTCTTCATCTAGAGCACCTCCAAAGCCCAGCCTTTGGAAGACCCAGCTGCACTGGGGACCTTGAGCAGGGGCTGAGTCAGCCTGTACATGTTGTTATGGGGAGGCCCAGATATAAGTGGGTGGGGGCAGGCCCAACCAGACCCCATCAACAGTTTAGCTCCCTCCCCCTCCCCCCTACAAATCCTGGCCATATACCTTCACCTCCTGGGCCTCCCGGAGGGCCCGCAGCCGCTCAGCCTGTTCACTCTCCAGCACCTGGCAGGCCGAGTCTCCTTTGAAGCGCTCGTCGGCAAGCTCTGTGGTCAAGTCAGCAATCTGGGACAACATGGTGGGGGCTGTTTACAGTGTGATCACTCACTGGGACAACCAAGTCTCTTCCCCCCGTCAGACTCCCCAGGACCACCCTTAGGTGAGTCACTGGATCTCATGGCCTGTGCAATGAGACGGTAGAGCATGGACTTCAGAACTTCATTGGTCTTGATGTATGCGATGAGTGACTCAACACGCAACAGCTGTGTAACTTGGAATGAAGAAAAATGCTGATCTGTTACTCCGTGTTTTCAGGGGGAGGGGATAACTTGGCGAATTGTGTAGCTAACTAAGCGAGGTAACCAACCTGCAGGGAGTCATCTCTCTGGAATCATCCTCTGGCTCTGCAGACACATCGACAGACCCCCACCAGCTCGGGATGATCTCAGAAGGAAGACTCTGTGGCTCCGTGGGGCCCCCCGCCTCTACCACGCATACTCACTATCAGCTGTGTGTGTTCCCCCACCTGCTAATGCTTGTCACGTTTTTATCATGGCTATTTATTCCATTCGCCATTACTTTAGCTTATAAAATATGACTGGGCAAGGAGTTTCCATGAAAACGAGGCTGAATACTTTGGAAGAAATTAAAAGAAAAAAGGTGAACGGCTTTTTAAAATTCTGTCAAACAGGAGGTGGTGCAGGGA